TGTTTTAGGGTCCTTCTAATAAGGATCCTACTATAGAGGGCACTATATCAGGGTCCCCCATTTTCGGAAACTCCCGTGTGTTCTCATTGTAATAAGCTCGCGATCCGAAAAGCAGACCACGGTATCCACTGCAGCATCGAAAGCTTCAGGAAAGCCATGCAGTCCCAAGAAAGTTCATAATACTCTACGACAGAAGCCGCAGCTGCAAGACGAAATCCCACGCAACAAATCGAAACCCAAGCCAAGTCTAAAATGGAACCCCCCTGCCCTGCACTGCTGAATGCTGCCTTAAACCAGAATTCCAAGCTCAACGGTAGAACCCTAAACCCCCAAACCCTAAACTCTAAATCGTGCCAGGTGCTCGTGCACGGCATCTGTGGCCACGCCAGGGACTTCGAGGCTTTGCTCTGCCTTTACCTTACCTTTGGTTAGTAGGGAATGGAAGAATGGCAGACATAGTAGTTATAGTTGTACCCCATTCCTCCATTCCCTACTAACCAAAGGTAAGTTGCATCGGAGTTTCAGATGTCGAAACTGCGGCGATGGTGGGGGCAGTCGTCGTAGCCGCACCCAGCGGTGGCCGGTATAGCGGTATACCGCGGTATAGCGGTAGCGGTAGTAGTGGTGGTCATAGTGATAGTCGTCGTCGTGGTAGCGGTAGCGGTAGCGGTAGCGGTAGCGGTAGCGAGGCGGCAGCGGCAGAGGCAGTGGGAGGAGTGGTAGTGGTAGTGGTCGTCGTTGTCGTGGTTGTGGTGGTGGCGGTGGTGGCGGTGGTGGTGGTATAGTAGTAGTGACTTAGTAGTGCTAGCGCCAGTACTAGTAGTAGAACACAAGTACCAGCTAGCAATGGGAAACCTGCCTCGTCAATGTCCTTGTAGCAGCACTCACATCCCTAAACCCTAAGCCGGCCCTAAACCTCCAAACCCTCAACCCCCAAACCCTAAACCCCTAACTCCTAAACCCCTAAACCCTAAACCCCTAACTCCTAAACCCCTAAACCCCAAACCCCTAAACCCTAAACCCCTAAACCCTAAACCCCCAAAACCCCTAAACACCCTAACTCCTAAACCCCTAAACCCTAAACCCCTAAACCCCTAAACCCCCAAAACCCCCAAAACCCCTAAAACCCCAAACCCCTAAAACCCCAAAACCCTAAACCCCTAAACCCTCAACCCCTAAACCCCCCAACCCCCCAAAACCCCAAACCCTCATATTTCAGATGCAGAGGTGTGGGAGGAGCGCCTCCGAGCCTGTGAACGGCCCGATTGGGTCGCATCTGGGCTGCAAAGGACCGAGCTTCACTGAGCTCCTCGTTCCCTGAGCCCTATGAACCCTAAAGTTGAGGGTTTCCTAAGCCCATAGTACTCCTTCAGATGGTTTAGACTTCCCTAAACCCTAAGGTTTAGCGTTTTACGGTTTAGGCTTACTTAAAGGATCATGGGACTTAGTAACTAGGGTTATAATTAGGGTAACTATACTTATAACCCAAATTAAGGTACTTATAACCTTACTTACTAAGTCCCATGATCCTCCAAGTAGGGAGCCCTAAGCTCTAAACTCTAGCACGGCGGGTTCGAGCGCCGGACACAGGCACGGGCAAACCTACCGCCATGAGAAGCGGGCAGTTTCTACATTCATTAGAGCTCTAAGGCTCTAAAGGCTGAATCTGCAGCTGCTAATATTGGGGCCTACATAATTACCTATACTATTTTGGGGGCTCATTATAGTTATAGTATAAGGTCATTATGAATAGTAAAAGGGGCCCCAAACCCCTGTTCGAATTATTGAGGCCCCTATCGTAAACCCGTACAGGAATCCTTATAGAACCCTTTAAAGGGAACCCTGTCCTAATTATTTTTAACCCCCCCCATAGTAATCCTTCAGATGTTCGGAGCTCCGACCCCTCGAAGGTGAGAATCTCCGAGAAGATCACGCCCCATGCCAAGTTCGCGGGGTCGGAGGTTTGCAAGCTCGGTGCCCTGGCTGTAATATAGGGGCCTAAATGATTGCCTATACCATTTTTTTTTTGCGGGGGGGTCCTTATGTATAGTTATAGTATAATGGGCCCCTGTGTCCTGACTGTAGTGCTTTCCAAATGGACATGTATGTATGCTGAAAGGGATTCAGAGTGTGCTTTTGGGAGATTCTGGGGCTTGGAGTTGCTCAGATACATACACTTGGAGGATCATGGGACTTAGTAAGTAAGGTTATAAGTACCTTAATTGGGGTTAAAAGTATAGTTGCCCTAATTATAACCCTAGTTACTAAGTCCCATGATCCTTCAAGTAATCAGCATCACCGCAATCACAAGCATGCCCATGAACTTAGTCATCCACCACCATCATCACGATCACCATCAATGATGGTGGCGGGTTCATATCCTTACCATCATCGTCATCATCATCGCCGTCATCATGCAATCCTCTGAGCATCGTTAGCTGGCAGTCCTGCAGCCCGGCTATGGGAGGTTTAGAGTCGTGTACTTCGGGAGTTTCTGAACCCTCACCCCCTATAGATCCCTTATTACTTATACAACCCTTATGAACCCCCAAAAAGGAACCTTTTGAGATCACTTTGAAGGAACCCAAGTGTTCAAGGAGCAGCTTCGAATTGGCATCGTCTAACTTCGGAGGAAGCAATCATTCCCGGACCTTGCTTGAAGGATCATGGGACTTAGTAAGTAAGGTTTATAGGGCTCCTGAAAGGGATCTATAAGGGTTCTATACTGGGGGGTCATGGGACTTAGTAAGTAAGGTTATGAGTACCCTAATTGGGGTTATAAGTATAGTTAGCCTGATTATAACCCTAGTTACTAAGTCCCATGATCCTTTAAGTCGAGCATGCAGGAGCCTTGTGAAGCCAGTCATGATCGAGTGGCAGTTGTAGCCCCAAGCCCTAAACCCTTAGCCCGAACTGGGCAGGGAGTCAGCAGAGCAACAGTCCCATTAATATAGGGGCTTATACAAATAATTACCTACACTCTTTCGGGGGGGGGGGTCCTTGTTATAAGTATAGTATAATGGGTCCCAAAACCCTATTCTAAGAATTCAGGCCCCTACATTACACCCCTAAAGCAAAACGCAGTATTGCCAAACTTGACAAGAGTGGCTGTGTCTTGTGAACATACTCGGGTCCAAATAGCCGTGAGCCCTCCTGAAGGACTGAGTGGCCCTTTACAAAGTCCAGAACCTGTATCAAGGAGCCCTTATGGTACCCTCCTTGAGCCCCTAAACCCTAAACCCTAAAGGAAGCCTCATGGCACCCTTGAAGGAACCCTGATGGGATGTGAGCCGTAAACCCCTTCAGGATTCCTTTGGCCCCTTCAGGATTCCTTTGGCCCCCAAGCCTTAGAGTCTAAGCAGCAAAAAAACAAACCCTTCACCCTGAACCACACAACTTCATGTACTCCACAGAAAGGGTTTAGGCTTTAGGGTTTAGGGTAGGCTACAGCCCCTATATCCTAAACCCTGAACCCCTTAAACCCCCGAAGCCCTAACCCCCAACGTCAGTCAGTGCCCCAAGGCGAGATGCTGGCCGGCGAGGTCATCGACTGGGCTTCTTGCCTGATATAGGGATTAGGGTCTCGGGCTTTTTTTGTAATATACTATCTGTTCCAAGTATGCAGGCCCTGGTATTGATGAAGCTCCTGGAAATGGTGTGTTGGGAGTTCTCGGGTTTAGGGCTTGGGGCTTGCAAAAGGGTTTAGGGGGTGAGTCTTCCGGGTCAGGGTTAGGTTCAGGTCTTTCTGGTTTGTTGTGTGGGTACCTAGAGTTCAGGGTTTCGGTCTGAGTTCATTGACTTTGGAGTTCCGTTTTTGTATTGTCTCTGTGCCTAGCAATCAAGCCTGAAATACGGAGCTACGGTTTCATACTAATCAGACCTCTACAGCTTCTTTTTGGGTGAGCCCTGAAGAATGAAGCACTAAACTTGGATTCTGGATCTTGGTTCTGCTAAGAGGATCCGGAGACGTGGTAGCTAGAGTTCTCTGTAACACATGGGTAGTTCTCTAAAACGGGGTCCCTGTTGAGGTCCCCAATGTAGTACGGCACCCTTATAAAAAGGGATCCTAAAAGGACCCTAATTTAGACAGCTACCCACATGGTAAGGTTTTGAGATGGTGGTGAAGTCCTCAAAGACCAGGGGTACCAGATCTAAACTACCATCGACTCTGCACCTTATACCCATTAAACAGCGAAAGTGAGGTAAAGGAGCTTCAGATCCAAGCCGGGATCGTCGTTCACTTCGTTTGCCACTCTCTTGGTGGACTGGTGGCACCTTCACTGCACGAAGCCAGGATGCTGTTATTCGGATTTCAACAGGGCTTATCAAGCATGTTATTGCTTTTTATCGTAATACAAAGGTATGCGTCAAGGGTCTTCATGCTGTGGCGTGGATTGGAGGCAATTGAACAGGGTTTTGAAGATGTTGGTGCTTCCAGGGTTTCCTACTCTGGGCATCCCGCCAACCCCTACCTCTCCCAAACCTGAACACATCAAAACTACACAAACCCTTCTCAAAACGTCACACTCCAAGCGAAACCGCATCCTGAACCTGCGCCTGTGCGGCTCTGGCCACCCAGGATGTCCTGGAGACTTCAAGTACATAGAATCCAGAATTTTAGGTACTTATCAGCAAAACCTTACGTACGTACTGAGTCCTCTGATCGTCCTAAGTGTCCCTCAGCCGCCATTAGCGTGAGGCACGGGCAGCTCTGCCGAAAATCTGCGAGGAGCTGGATGACGAACTGCCAAGCGTGAGCTACGGGCCTGCCACCAAGAGGGCATAGTTCATTCATCCAGATTGTACAGGTGTATCAATAGCTGTATAGCGTCTCGGGTGTATAATATGCAGTTTGAGCTGGACCGGGACTGTAAGGGGATAGAGTTCGAAATATTCAGATCCCTTATGTTTACGTGCAATGCTTCTAGTATATGCATTGTCTGAGAACACAGTATAGCACAGAAATATTATGTACACACACGCACCTGCATGCGCTCCTACATGTAGAGGTACATGTGTTCAAAATTCAGACATGCAGATGTACAGAATTGCAGAGGGTTGCAAACGGCGGTAATGTAGGAACCTCGTTCAGAAACCCTGGTCCTAAAGCCCCCAATATAGTAGGATTCGTAATAAGGAACTCTAATAAAGGCCCAATGTTTCTTAATCAGGTTCCTACATTACCTGTTCGGGTGGAGGAGCCTTGCGAAACCAACCCCCCCTTTTCCAAACAAAAAAGGCAAACCCAATGATTTCCCTAGAAGCACTGCACTTTGAAACCAGTTGCCTTCACTCTAAGCCCTAAACCTAAAGACGCGTAGTTTTTCGGAAGGACCGTGCTTGTTCAGGTTTTAAACTTTAGACCTTCGTTGAAGATGTTGGGTGCAGCAGAGCACGAAGCGCTTTCACATAGCCCCAAAGTGAACCTCATCATCTCTATCATACTGATGTACCATATACCCTAAAGCTCTCTTCTAGTTCTTGATGCCTATGTGATTCTTTTCTAGACAAGTTTAGCAACGATTGTAGCAACCCGGTTTCACACTCCTTTCAGAAGAAGCCGTTAAAGAAACCCTGTTCTAGATATTAAGACTTCTACACGACACAAACACTAAAGTGTGAACCCAGGAAGTCCCGAACGACTAAGACTCCAAAAGAATCCAAGTCCTTGTTCTCTAGGGTTTCCGGCCCAGGGCGTAGCGTCGGGGGGTGCTATGCTGAGGCATTTTATCACGCTGAACACGCCCCATTTGGGTGTGCGGGGTGCGAATCTCTGGATGTGCTGGAAGAACATGGGCTCCTTGGCCTTCTTGCTGGATCACCGGAGTTATCTCAACTGGGCTTGACGTGGACCTCTATAAAACTAGAGTTAGATCCCCGTATAACCCTACTCACTGCGCTCCAGATGTTAGAAAGCCCTTATCGTACCGTTTGAGTAGGCTTCAGCACCGTGGGTGCAGAGCCAATCTGGTTTTCGAGTTTAGGGTTTACATCGTTTAGGGCTTGGGGAGTGCCATTGACCAAAGGCCCCATAGCACGGAAACATAAGGCCAAACATCACAAAGAGCACTCCAAATTCCAAGACCTACACCCCCACTGATCCCTCGCATAGGAGGTGCCAAGAAGGATCCTCTTTATGGAGGCATAGGAAGCCCCCAATTTGGGTTTACAAGGCTAGTATCCAGCTAGTAGTATAAAGTATAAAGGCTCCGTCAAGGGGTATGCCGTAAAGCCATGTATCTGAGATCCTTATGTTGGCGTCGCTTTTGAGTCTACCCCAAAAAGACTTCATCGGCTTTCGTTGAGTATCAAGTCAGTACACACCAGACAGCCCAAGATGCCACGAGCCTAAACCAGGCCGGCAACACCCTTTCGAAGTTACTTAGCGTTTCAAGGCCAGTGTGGATTCTGGGGCCAGCCTTTGCTAAAAGCTAAAGAACTAGGACCTAGACTAGGCTATTATTCCTTTAGGGATTTTAGGGTTCAGGTTCCCTTAGAAGCCCCTTTAAACCAAAGATGGCACCCTGTTTATGTTTAGGTTACTCTTGGGTCTAGAGAAAGAAACTAGGATGCCCAGTAGTACCCTTATTCCCTTTTTGTAGTCCTAGGTTCCTTATAAAGTTACCCAATACCAAAAAGAGAGGCCTTTTTATTCTTAGGTTACTGGGTATCCTAGGAAACCTTGCAGGCGTGCTCATCCCCACGGCCGCTTTCAGTCAGATTCATCAGCTGACGCTGCAGGCCCGGCCCTAAACCCTAAACCGTTGATTTTCTGACGTCGGTGTGAGTTTCTGACTTTGGATCTTCTTTTTCTACAGGGTGTCTGGATGCTAGTAGCTGCTAGACTCTCAGTCCTCAAACCCTAAACCCGTAAACCCTAGACCCTCTCAAGAAACATCGACTCTAGGATTCTTGGGTTAGGGTTCAGGATTTGGTTTAGATGTACAAGGACCTTGCTTGCAGCCTTCGGACACAGTCGTAAACAAGAGCACGTGCTTAAACCCGAAACTAAAATTCCCAAACTGAGAGCCCCGTTAATTTACGTGAACGCAGTCGCTGTCATCCAAACGTGGCTTCTAGGGAATCCAACATGACTTTATAGCATAAGGCTGTGCCGGGCTTCATGATCCTAGGTTGTTATCGATACGAAGCATCGCGACCTTGCTGTCAAGCCTCAGTGTGCGAGACATCCATGTCATTAACACCCACATTAGAACAAAACTTGATTCCCACACCACAAGCAGAGCAGGACCGGAGTGGCGAAACTCCTTCCTCGGATACGCCGCTCACCACGGTTTAGCCGCTTCAGGGCTTTCTAGGGCTCAGGTTTAGACGTAGGCTCCGGTCCAGGCTGTTTTGGCTTATAGGCGTTTGGGGCCAAGTTCATGGTAGTCGGGGTTTGGGGTGCCATGCTTGGGTTTTGACCGGTGGCCTTTGTGGGGTTTCTGCAGGGTGTTGAGGGCTGTTGCGAGTTTCTCACACCGCAATTCTCAAACGTTTCAATAAACCTTGCAGGGATTCCGAGGAAAAAGGATCTCAAAGAAGAACTGAAGCTTTAAAAGGCCAATCCCGCATCTTCAATTGTGCAAGTCAGTATCGCTTGATAGACCAACATTAGGACTTTCTTGCATATAAGGGAAGTAGGGTGTACCTTAACCCCAAATAACCATTTTTTAAGGACCTATATAAAGAAATCAGAATAAGGAACCTCAGAAGGAAGGTTTTATAGGGTCCAGGTATGTTTAGGGTTTAGGTGAACATGATGTTTACGCAACAGCTTGAGCAATCGAATTGAGATTGTTTGCTTCAGCCCGAAACCGCAGACCTTTTCATGGTTGATTTGTTGATTTTGTTGTCTACCACATTCTTAGCATGTGTGTCCTTAGAGTTCAAGCAGTGTTGCATAGAACTCCTTCTTTTCACGTGCTTAATCTGTCGGCGCGTGAGTCTTTTAAAGTTTCATTGGGACGTGCTGCTATCCAAATCTTCTACACTCGGACAGCAGGGGCAGGGTTTGGCTTTCGGCAGCATATTTCCGCCTGCTGGTAAGGGCGTGCGTGCGGTGCAAATAAGCTCGCCTCAAGTATACAGCTACCTGACAGGGGTTTGGGCTGCCAGAGGGACAAGAGCCCTTACAAACAAAAGACATTTACCTTGTGATTTAGGGGCCTTGATACGTAGAGTATGTCTCGTTTTGGATCCTTAATACTATTGTATCAAAGACCCTCCAAGCCCATTCTGATCGTTAAGGTTTGATGTATTAGATGAAGATGTTTGGTAGAACGGCGAGACTTCAGACAAGAAAGTTTTGCTGCAATGTTCTAAACCCAAAACCCTAAAACATGGCCGAACGCCTGTGTGCTCGGCTGCGGTTCGCGGGAGCCAATGGTCAACGCACGTCACACAGTGCTCAGCGTGCTCGCACGGCTCGCACTGGCCATAGTCATCGTCATGGTGGTCATCTGCTTCATCTCCCTCGCATGTCGTCATCACGAGCAGCAATATCAGCATCTTTGTCGTTGTCATCATCATCATCATCGCGATTTCAATAAGCATTCATTTCCTCGCAGCTCTGCAGACCATAAGGTACGTCCCACATGCATGCGAGACCCTGTCACCTGCCAGCTTAGTCAACCCTGCATGAAATTGAACACTCCCAGATCTCTTGATGCCCTGGACCATGAAGCCTCAACCCTGAATACACAAGGGCTTGGTAGCGATTGTTTATCGAGGCTGCGGAGCGAGCCTTCCAGCAGCAGTGTCACCACCACTTCGGCCGTCGGACGCTGAGACTGTTCCGGCTTCGGAGAAGCTGAATGCAGAACAAGTGGACAAGAGTTGTCCAAGCCACATCCTCATCGTCATTGCAACAACAGTAAACATCCGGAGGAATACTGTGTTTAGTAAGCATTATCAATGCTACAAGTTGTTACTGGTACTTTTACTATCAGTATGATTGTTACGATTATTGTGATTGTCTTATATACTATTGATCTTCGCATAATCTCATCACTGTTATCAGATTGGTAGTCATAGTAGTAGTAGTAGTAGTAGTAGTAGCAGTAGTAGTAGTAGTAGTAGTAGTAGTAGTAGTGGTAGTGGTAGTAGTAGTAGTAGTAGTAGTAGCAGCCGTAGAAGTAGAAGTAGAAGTAGAAAGAGAAGAAGTTGTAGAAGTAGTCGTCGTAGTAGTAGTCGTAGTGGTAGTCGTACTTGTAGTCGTAGTTGCAGTGGTGGTCGTAGTAGTAAGAGTAGCAGTAGAAGTAGAAGTAGAAGTAGAAAGAGAAGAAGTTGTAGTAGTAGTCGTCGAAGTAGTAGTCGTAGTGGTAGTCGTACTCGTAGTCGTAGTTGTTGTGGTGATAGTAGTAGTAGGAGGAGGAGTAGTAGTAGTAGTAGTACTGTAGGGGCCCATCATGCTGAAGCCGGCTGGTTGGCCGGAAAGTGGGCTTGTTTCTGGAACCCGGAAATGGCATAACTTCAATCTGCGATGTGACAGGTTTCGTTGTCGATGTGTGTGCGTCACCATGCCATGATGATGCGAGCTTTGTGGCTCTGAGACGGAAGTGTGGTCTGAAGTCCTCCTGCCTTCTTCGATAATGGCAGCCGCACCCCCGGCCGACCGACGTGGTGAAGCCGAGCGCTTGGGAGACGGTGCAGTGGCTGAGGTGTGCTATCCGTGGCAGCATTTGGGGTCCTAGTTTCGTATATGCACGAATCCCACTGCGTGCAGGAGCGCGCACCAGATCCCGTGCCTGCTGATCCAATTGCCCAGCTGAAAGCGCAGCGTGCCATCTTAAAGAAGGAGCTGAAGGATTGCATGAAACAGATGCGAAATGAGGTCTTCCCCTCAGTCATTTATTCAGTATATAGGGCATGCTGCTTCATGCATGCATTCAGCAGTGCGCAGGCCCGTAGAAAGCGACGATTGCTCAAGAAAGCTGGCAACCTCACGGTCGAAGAACTCAACTGGCTGATGGTACGGCGCACTACACGTGCTGCCTAGGTCGTCAGCTCTATAGATCTAGTTACCACGTTGCAATGGTGGATATGCGAGCATTGCTATACAGGCCTTGGGGGGGGCAAACTATGCAAGCTGACATCCATGCCATGTTGCTTCGGGAAGCTTGCCATCTCTGCTTCCAGCCAAAGATCTAGAACCCCATGCCTGAACTCCCAGCCATAGATAAGCTGCCCATCTGGTGGCCCTGCAAGGACCAGTATGCGGAAGTGGTCAAGCTGATGATATCGCTGAGGCACAGCGCCCTAAACCTTCGCCTTAAACCCTGTAAGCCCGAAACTCTGGATGCATCGACTTGCAGATACGCTTTTCGCAGGCATTCTCTGCATCTTAAATCCCGCTGAAGCTTTGGATGCATCGATTTGCAGGTACGTTTTTTCCAGGCTTTCTGGGCATCCTAGTAAGTTCTGGATGCATCGATTTGCAGATACGGTTTTTGTAGGCGTGCTGGGCCTCCGGGCTTGTGCCTAAATTCGAAGCCTTCTAAGGCATTCAGCCGCAAACCCTAAACCCCTAAACGAAGCCGTAAAGCCAATACAAAACCAAGTCCCTGTGAGGACCATTGCATTCGCCACTGCTGGCGATGACTGGCAGGCTGTCACTCCAACTTCCCTAAAATAGTAATACAGTGGGCCTTAGCAACTAAAATACCTTGTATAGGTTATTCGTAGGGACCCCAAGAAATTACTTAGTGATTCCGGCCCCTGTATTACACCCTAGACCCTAAACGGTCAGAAAGTCACCAAAGGTGGCGAGGAGTGAAAGAGCGGTGTCAGCACCGCCGATTTCCCTAGTATAGTAATACAGTGGGCCTTAGCTATTAGAATACCCTTTTACAGATTATTGGTACGGACCCCAAGAAATTACTTAGTGATTCCGGCCCCTGTGTTAAACCCTAAACCCTAAACGGTCAGAAAGTCACCAAAGGTGGCGAGGAGTGAGAGAGCGGCGTCAGCACCTCCGATTTCCCTAATCTAGTAATACAGTGGGCCTTAGTATTAGAATACCCTTTACAGATTATTCGTATGGACCCCAAGAAATAACTTAGTGATTCCGGCCCCTGTGTTACACCCTAAACCCTAAACCGTCAGACATGCAGTTTTTTCTCATGGTCACCAGAGGTGGCGATGAGTGAGAGAACACGAATTCAGCGGCGTCAACATTCTACATTCAGTAGGCTAAGCCGAAGAACTCTAGTATTGTTTATGAGTCCGGCCCCTGAAGCCCCAAAGCCTCAGAGTTTCTCTCACCATTCGTGTGCCGATTTTGTCTGAAAGTCGCCAGTGGTGGTGGCGATGAGTGACGATTCTGTGAGAATCGCGACTGCCAAGGCAGCTCGTTTTCCGTGCTCGGGCGCGAATATGCTCCCAACATGACAGGCCGCACGGAAACCATCAATGGCGGCCCAAGCATGCTCCCGCTACGCTAGAGTATATTGCCTGTTCTCGGGCGCCAATCGTGCTCCCAATACAGTACATGTAGGCTCAAATGCGCTCCCGCCAAAATCGTGCTCCCAAGACAGTCCGTGTAGGCTCAAGCGCGCGCTCTCTCCAGAGCGCTCCCGCCGCCAATCGTGATCCCACCACAGTCTCATCGTGATTCCACCACAGTCTACCACAGCCTGTGCTCTACCCGGAAAAGGCTTCACCCCGACAGGACGCACGTCCGGACTACAATGCTAATTTTGTGGGAGGCTCCCCCTCCGCCTACTGAGCATTGTAAAACCCAAACGGGGTGTAGGGTCCCACGTAGAGGAGCGCTGGGACCCACCGGGTCCCACCGGGTCCCACCGAACCCGATGCGGGTCCCACGTAGAGGAGAGCTGGGACCCACCGGGTCCCACCGAACCCAATGCGGTCCCACGTAGAGGAGAGCTGCCACCGGGTCCCACCGAACCCGATGTGGGTGAAAAGAGCTTGGACCCACCAGTTCCCACCGAATTCGATGTGGGTCCTGCGTAGAGTAGAGCTGGGACCCACCCCACGTACCGTAGAGAAAGGCAGTTGGCACTGCGTGGCATTTGGTTTTACGGTGAGACCATGCCTGAAGCCGAACCAGAGTTTTTGCGTCCGAGTGTCGAAAAGGGCGGCGACATCCCGGCGCCCGCCGTAGAAACCAACTGTGCGCGTCCCACGTTAGGCAGAGAAAAAAATAGGTCAGAATCAATAATGCGATGAGAAAGTAGCTTGTGTCTGTAGGCCTGGACGCAGGCAAAACACGCCGCCTGCAACACAGAAGAGGCAGACGCAGCTGCGCAAGAGGAATGCATGTGGCGAGCTACGCACCCTCATGCAGACGGTTGGAGTTGAGCTCGCTCCCGACCATCATGGCAGAGCTGAGTACAATCAGCAGGAGTTTCAGGCTTTTGCCGACGAGGCCCAGGCCTCAGGCTCGGAGGCTTCGTCTGCAATCCATGCTTGGCTTGCTCTGCATCCGCCCCCACAAAAGACCCATCCACGAGGTCAGGCCGCGACTGCAGACTCCCGAGCAGCAGCAGAAGCTCCGTGACATCGTGGCAGCATACAGTGGCACGCTCCCGCAGGTGGACACCTTAGGCTGCATGCCAGACGTTGCAAGGGCTGAAGGGTGTACAGCAAAACTGTAATTCTGGCCCACTTGAGGTGCTGCCGCTGCCGGTTGTCGGGCAAGTGCAGGCTGAGCTGCCGTCGCGGCCAGTTCCTGCGAGCCACATTGTAGCACATCTGCTCACAGGGTTGGGAAGAGAAGGGTTCCTGCATAAAGCTCTGAGGCTCCGACGATGCAGCCGACACAGGCTACCGCCTGCGCGCAGCATCGTGCATCTTCACGTACAATTCGGCCGAGTTGTTTGAAGACTGGTGGGAGCCGTTTGTGGCCTGGCTGCAGACCCTCGAGTTCGTCTTTCGCTGGACGGCTACACTGGGGACGTCTCTGCGATCTGGGCTTGAGGGCCGCCTCCACCTGCACGTCTTCATGGAGTTCAACAAGACAGTTGATTGGACGGGCCTTCGCGCCGTCATTTTCAACGGCATTCGACCGAATGCGCAGGCCACAGCAGGTCGGGGGGCGAAGGTGAGGGAAATGAAGAACCACGGTCATTTCTACGTCTTCGCGGACAAGGCGTCGGCAGGTCTGTCCAATACAGTGAAGTGTTTGGAGAGTACTGCAGCCTTGTTTGCCCGAGCCTCATCTTCAGGTCGGGACCTTGAAGGTAGCCACATCTGGTTATGAACCTTGGAAAGATTATCCAGTCAAAGGCTGGTGGCTGGATTCTTTGTGGTCCGAGCACAAGTTAACTGACACATGATGTCTACATCCGGTATGCGCTCGGGCCTTATCGTGCGTAGCCGATGCAGATCAGATTTTCTAGGCTTCCTTTTGCGTAGTGCTAGAACGTGGATCCCAGCAGACAGGTGTCAAGTGCGCATTGGCTTCCTGGGACGATTGAAGCAAGTTGAGAGTGTTCGCTTTCACGAGCGCCTCGGCGAATACCAGGCCGAGCAGATTGCCACGGAGCAAAAGGCTCCAGGCATTGAAGCGACCTTTCCGGCCTGAAGTTTTGGCAGCTCTGCAGCCCTGGGCCGCGCAGTACATTGCGGACCAACTACGCTATAGGTTTCTCGTCTTGCGGGGTGGGTCTAGAACCGGGAAGAGCACATTGGCGAAGTCCCTTGGCAGCGTCTATGGCTGGGGCAACCCCTCCATCCAGACCGTGCAGGGCGCACCAGCCCCCGATCTAAAAGACTTTGACAGAGACTCTCACGGCTACATTCTTTTCGACAATGTGAACGACATGCAGTTTGTCCTGGACTATCGAGCGTTGGTGCAGTCCAACAACTCTGTGCACACACTGGGCCAATCGCAAATCGCGTGTGGATCTACAAAGTCCCGATAGTCATGACGGTGGATGACAGTGCTGTGTGGGATTCTGAGGAGCCATGGATCCACGAACACATGGTTGAACTCATTTTGCATGGCCCGTGCTACCAGTGAAGCGTAGTGGTTCAACCGCCTTTGCTGTAAAATGCGAAAGGGGGCCGAGGTGATTGACTCATCTTTGGAGCAGTTGGAGGTTGCTTAAGAACACAGCTTCGCGGTTCGATTTTACGGCCTGGATTCCGGCCGCAGGGCAAGCTTCAACTTCATCAGCCCTGAATGTAGTAGTAGTAGTAGTAGTAGTAGTAGTAGTAGTAGTCGTAGTCGTAGTCGTGGTAGTGGTAGTGGTAGTGGTAGTGGTAGTGGTAGTGGTAGTCGTAGTCGTAGTCGTAGTCGTAGTGGTAGTCGTAGTGGTAGTCGTAGTAGTAGTCGTAGTAGTAGTAGTAGTCGTCGTCGTCGTAGTAGTTAGTAACCGTGGTTGTGGCAGTAGTAGTGGCGCTGGCAGTCGCAGTAGCTGTAGCTGTAGCAGTAGCAGAAGCAGCAGCAGAAGGAGGAGGAGGAGGAGTAACAAGCATCTTGAGAAGCGTAATCTTCAATATATTGCTGCTGCCACCACTTCTTCTGCGTCATGGCTGTCTCGACAGTTCTTCAGCCCAGCTTCAGTGCAGCCAATAACCTGCCTGGAAATCGCGTATGGTTCACTTGCTTGCAGCTGCAAGTTCATAGAGTGGAACATACAGTATGCAATCGGAACTATTCCAAGGGTTCCCCAGTTTCAATCATAATCATGCGACGGCATACCAGCACAACCCTGTTCTAGTTATTCAAAGTTATAGTAAAACCACCCCTTTTTAACGCTTCGGAAAACCCTAGCAAGTTCAGACCCCCTTTCCGAAGCTCCTCAGCCATTTTAGTCCTCCACCCTGAAACTCAAAGCGCAGCATCCCAACAGGCCCAGAAACCCTCGCGTCGCTTCCTGGAAAGCTTGGCTGATCCCCAGGGAAGGTGCGCCAGGGTGTAGGTTGGGATTCAGGGTCGAGGGTTAGGTTTAAGGTTCATACGTTGATATATATAGCCCCCCAGTTTTAGACGGTATCAACTATGCACCTCCAATGAGACTTCCTTGCTCG